CTGCTGCCCCTCATTGGCATCGCTTCGTGCCAGGGAATAAATCCTTGAAGGCCCCAGCCCTCCTCTTCTTCCTTCTCCTCCCTATCCCGAGATGGAGCCGGTGGGGGCACACGTGCAGGGATGCAGGGCAGGGAGATGCAGGGATCGGGGCAGACAGAGGCAGCACCGTGCACACTCCCAACCTCTGACGCCTCCTCAGACCTCATCCCAGCAGGCAGTGGGTTTTGCCAATGGGATGCTCCTTTGGGATGCACTCAGAGCCACATCCCTGTTGACACAAGGAGGACAGAGGGGACCCATGGAGGACAGAGGGGACCCATGGGTGACGAGGGGACCTGGAAGGTTGTGGGTGCCACCACCCAGCGCCTCCAGTGGCTCACCTTAACTCACCCCAGCACCAGAAGCACCCATGTCAGTCAGGCTAATAAACACATCAGATTTCAATCTCCGCAGCCTTGGGATCGCTTTATCCAAGGGAAGCAATTTTGCCTCCGAACGAGCACAGCCACCTCCCCACCCACAGGACCCAGGCACTGGCTGCATCTGCCACCCTCAAAGGATGGAGATCCAGGCATTGGGCTCTTTCCCATGGCAGGGTCTTGGGGAGGGGGGACCCCACTGCTGCCCCGGAGCACCCTACAGTGTTGGGACCCTTCCCAGACATGGCCAGGCGCCCTGAGCCACTGGTGGGGAGGTGTCTGTGTCATCTTTGAGGAGCATTTTCATTTTTGGGGTGCAGCATCCTGTCTGTTCCCACTGTGCGGCACGCATCCGTCTGTGTATTGGTTACCTGCCATCTTATCTGCTCTCTGAAAAGACAAAGGCGCAGTTAAAACATTTTCGAGCAGCCTTCATAGCGTATTAACACGTTATCTCACCCATTAAACCCGTGCCTTATCAGATAATCAAAGCCATTCAAGCCCCGGAGCTGCTGCAACTTTGGGTGCGGGGATGGGAAATGCTCCTTGGGCTCCGCCACCGTGTCCAGACCCCCCGTGTGGTGGTCGGACCCCCCTGGTGAGTGGCTGGATGCCACCCACCCACCATGGACACGTAGCCCTGGGGTGCCCGCATCCGTCGGGGTCCATCCAGGGGGGCACCGTGCTGATGCTGTGCCTGTGTCCCCACAGATGAGCTGGATTTGGCTGTGCAGGACGGGGAGAGATGCGTGAGGACCCGACGGAGCCTCCCCGAGGGCTTCTCCTGGGGACCCTTCCCTGGCAGCATCCACAGCGAACCAGTATCGCCCGGACACAGCGAGACAGTAAGGAGCAATGGGGAAGATCCCAATCAAATGGGTCATTCTGAGAGAGGAGTTGGTTTGGGAGGGTTTTTTCCCTGATCTGCCTGGGGTTTGGGTGCCCAGAAGGTTTCCCTGTGGTATCGGAGCATCCCTGCGGTCAGGGTGATGGGATGCTGGCCGACCCTCCCATCTCCATGCAGGTTGCTTGGTGGCACATTGCCCTTGTAGAGGAGATGAGATTCAGGATTCCCACCCCAGTGAGCCCCAGTTGGGATGCCGGGGGTGCACATGGGTGCACTGGATCCTTGCTTCCCATCCACATCCTTCTCCCAAAGCTGCACACAGGCAGCTCCAGCCCACGGTCTTGTAGGCCGGAGGCTCTCACCAGACTCCATCCCCACCTCCTCCTCCTCCTTCCCTCCCTCTTTTTCCTTTTTTTTTAGCTCAGGCCCGTTTATCTTTGCCGAATTAAATCCTTGATTAACCCTTATCTGCCCAGTTTGGCTCCCTATCTCCCGGTTGGCGCCGTGTGTCCAGACACCCGGTACAGGATGATTGATTTCTTAAAGATATGCGCGGCTTTTTTTTCCTGATACTTCATTTATTGTCTAAATATTTTTGCTCCCATTTCAGCAGCTCCCTTATCGAGCCCGGCTGACGATTCCCAGCCCTGCTCTCCTCCGCCGCTCGCCTCCCTCCCTATCTCTGCTCGGGGAAGCGAGGAAGGAATCGCAGCCCCATCCCTGATAGGGGCTGTCGCCCTTGGGTCCCTTCGTCTTTGTTGCTGGCAGAGAAGGTTGGGGGCGTGCAGCGGGTCTCCCCCAAAATCCTGCTTGGTTTTGCTCACCATTTCCATGCAGGAATTTATCCCATTGTGGGGTTTTAATGGGAACTAGGAGCACTGGGCGGCCTTAATGTCATTGTGGCATGGAGCATCTTGTGTGCCCATCACATTGATGGAGGAGAAGGAGGAAGAGGAGGAGGAGGAAGATGCCTGTTCTCCCCCATATCTGGTCCCATAGCGTTCCCCAAAACCAGCCTTGCTCGGGATGGGGGTGCAAACCCCCCTGGCAACGCCATCCCAGGGGTGCCAAGGGGCCCCAAAGTGCTGGCTCGCCCGTGGCTGTCCCCCTTCCTGCTTCATCCATGTCCCCCTGAGTTGTCCAGCCTTGGGGCGATGCCTGCAGTGGCGGGGGACAGCAGGGGCATGGGGCCACCCCCGGTACTGCCACCCCGGCGGATGCGGAGCAGATAGGGTTTCCGATGGTTATCGGCCAGTGCAGAGCGGAGACACCGACCTCTTTGTTCCAGGGAGAACAAGGAAGGACTCGACGCAGCAGCTGGGGCCACCAAAAGGAGTCAGGGTGGGCACCCTGGGGTGTTGGTTGGGGGGGGCACCCTGCATTGGAGGTACCCACAGGTCCACCATGCAGGGACCCTCCTCTTCCTCCTGGCCGTGGCGTGGGACACGGAGATGCCACCATGGTCCCCCAGCCTGGGTGCCACCAGCAGCACCCATCCCATGCCGGGGGGGTCCCTAAGCCCCCAGCCCCATTTCTCCCCATGGGTTGTGGCGTGTGTGTGGAGTTTATCGCAGCGCTGGGCTCCTGGGGATGATAAGGCCTCAACCGGCTGCCACTGTCAGCCCGAGTTGGAGGGTTGAGAAATATTGGGACGAATAATTAGATTTCATATCGTTACCGCGGCAGCCATCGCAGGATCAGGCAGATTAATTTTACCCTCCCCTGCCCCCCTTTCTCCTCATTAATATTCATTAGTGATGCAGGAAGGCTGGCACAGGCTGAGGGGGGAGTGCTGTGACCCCCCACTGTCACCCCCCCCACCCTGACCCCAGTGTGTTTTGGGGCATGGTGCTCACCTCCCCCTCTTTTTCCCCCCACAGAGCCCACCCGTGACGCTGATGCTGGGGGATGAGAGCTGCTGGCTGTCCCATCTGCCCCTCGTCCCCACCGAGAGCGACGCCAACGCCATCATCTACAGGAAGGGTCAGTACCTGGGGGGGTCCAGAGGGGACAGGCATAGCCACCCTGGCATTTTGGGGAGAGATGGGTCCCTGTCCCCATCCAGCCCAGCCTTGGGGCGGTGTCTACCCCTCCCAACCAGCACCCATGGTTCCCCCATGCCTGCGGAGAGGGCAGGGGATATGAGGAAGGTCCCAGCATGCAGCACTGGTGTAAATACTGGTGCAAGCATTCATGCAAGCAGCTGGGGCAAGGCTCAGTGCAGACGTTATTGCATGCACTGGTGAAAGTGTTGGTGCAAGCATTGGTGCATGCATTGGTGTAAGACCCGGTGTAAGCATTACTGCACACATTGGTGCAAAACAGCACAAATATTGGTGCAGGTGTTACTGCACGCATTGGCGCAAGGCTCAGCACAAACATTGGGGCAATTATGACTGCACGCACTGGGGTAAGA